TTACGAGAAAGCTTCTATTTCTCGCCTAACTATTTGTTGTATCAGCGTCGACTGATTTTTGGTACGGCTGGGATAGGATAGCGTGCACAAACTGTCGGAAATTATTTTCGATTCTTGTTGAGGTTAGCAAGATCTTTTCGATGCTAGAACCACTGCACTGACCTAAATGCCCCGTTTCGGAGATCTTGTTTCACAGCTACGGAAAGCATACAGGTGGCTTTTCTAGGAAATTGTTGAAGCAGTTAATATTTTCATTTATTCGTGTAGTCGGCTAGTCGCTATTGAATAATATTAAGAAAATTCCATTTAAAATTCTCTACCTTCACGGTAATAAATTCTGCGTCCTATCTCTTAACTTAATTCTTTGCGACATGTACATACATAGATATTCTGTTTCCACAAGTTGAACGCATGCTAATGACACGGATATTACGCGTAATATTAACACATAACAAGTCCAGCTGTGTAAACGACAAGTTGCATTTCTTTTTATTTTTGTACGTCAGTTGTATTCTCGCGCTTCATCGAAGCACCCGGGAAGCTATTCGTTGATCCTCGCTCTGATTGGCTGGCGACTGCCAGCCGTCTAGCTGATTGGTTGCGCTACGGTGAAATAAGGAATGCGGAACGATTTGTGTATATGAGAAACGAAAACTGTGGATGAGAGGGAAGAATGAAGTTCGATTATTCCGAGACTAAGAAGATACGTACATAGAAGCAAAATAAGATTTTTGGTGATCGAAAGCGCTGTTTTTATATCGTAATTGAAGAGATGCGACGTCTAAGTTCCGAGTTGGCGCTTAATTAGAGCACAGACGGAATAGCTTCCACTGTTCTTGAAGGTCTCGCCGTGTCTTTTGAGCTGGGGGACGTTAGGGGAGGATCGCCGTATATAAACCTGTTGGGACACAAGGAGTTTATATAACTGGGTTGATGTAATAGGTGTCCAGCTAATTGCTCTTACTGATAAACATTTTGTTGAGATAAATGAAACTCTATTCTACTTTTAGTGTTGAAGATGCAGACATAATGTTAAAATACAGACATAAAGTAATAAGTAAACGATACTGAAGAATAGACAAATTGGGTTGATGTAATAGGTGTTCAGCTAATTACTCTGACTGATAAACATTTTGTTGAGATAAATGAAACTTTATCCTACTTTTAGTGTTGAAGCTACAGACATAAAGTAATACGAAAACAATATTAAAAAATAGACAAACTGGGTTGATGTAATAGGTGTCCAGCTAATTACTCTGACTGATAAACATTTTTATCCTACTTTTAGCGTTGAAGGTGCAGACATAAAGTTAAAATACAGACATAAAGTAATAAGTAAACGATACTGAAGAATAGACAAAGAAAATAGACGGTAATTCAGAATATGTTGTTGAGGTATGATTCTAAACAATTTTCCCTTTAGCATCATTAGAAGAAGTCTCTAATCTCCGAGATATTCGTCAAAAAGTATTGCTGCTACCATGCATGCATGGAATCTACGTATACTACCTACCTGTTTATGTCAACGTGTTCGCCAGCATAGCGTCGGCCGAGTATCTATTGTTTATCGCGACGACCGGAAAGAGCGATACGTAGAATGAGGAACGAAACCGAGTCAATACTTTTAAAAAGAGAGGACATAACTTTTTAATCTAAATAAGATCTAAATGACGTGATCTTTTCTGCGAATGTTAGAGGAACCAAGTCGCCGTACAATGACTAAAATACTTCTTTTTAATTTTGCTATTACTTGGGATGAAAAGAATATAAACAAAAGACTCTCGCTTTCTCACTTTTTTTAATCTGAGCCTATGATGCAAATTTAAAAAATGGATTTGATACTTCTCAGTTTTTATATTCTTTTTATTCCAAGTAATAGCAAAATTAAAAGAACAAGTATTTTAATCATTGATCCCTCTAATATTTAAACAAAAAATTCAAGTCATTTGGACAAGTCTTAGAAAAGTTGTACTATTTTAAAAGTGTCGACTCAGTTTCGCTCCTCGCTGTGTAACATGTGAACTTTTCAAAAAGGTACATTTTTCATAGATAATAAATTGATGCTTCCTAGATAAAAAAATCGTTGAATGTGTGAGAAAAATAAATAGATATAATACCAATCTCATTTAATAGCAAATATTGTAATGCACGGGAGTGGTGGGGGAGGGAGTTTGCCTAAATAATTCTTCTTTTGCTCGTAAGTGAAATTGGTGTTCGTCTGGATTGATTCTTCTCGTTTTTCCTTACGCGTTTAGGTGTGCAACTGCGGTACCTACCAACCAACTCTCTTTTGACCCGGATCAAATAACGCCCGGGACGACCTTCTTATTTTGCGATTTTCGTGTCCCATTGATGTTCAGAAAACGTTTTCAATGCATTTTGAAGATATTTCAGATTAGAGAAATGTGTACAAAAATCGTTTTTAACTACTTTATTTTCAACTACTTAATCCATTTCACCGAATATATAAATATGAAATAATTATATATAATTATATATAAATCATCATTTCATCGAATATAAATGTCGTTAGAATAAACTATTTAGGGGTACAACTTTTGTATGCGTTCTTCAATCAAATATTTCTAAAATGTATTAAATATCTTTTTTTATATATCGTTGCAATAATTGTATAATTGAAAAAAAAGGTAAATCATACGACTAAAAAAGGTAAAAATCGTCCGGAACGAGATTCGATCTGGGTCAGAAGATAGTTGCTAGGTTCTGCAGTCGGACATCTAACGCTTGCAATCGCACCGGTTTTATGCTGACCCATTCGGTGCCACAGTTACGTAGGTAGGTACACAGTGGTGCACGGTTTTTTTCACGAAATCTCCGTACGGTTAAATTTTCACGACCCAGCCCCACTTTTCTCCCACCGCGGTGCCTCGAGCTCGGCGAAGCCTCATCTTAGTAGACGAGGTTAGGGAACCAGTGCAGAAACAACTGGACAAAGTAAAGTGGATAACAGAAATTCTGCTGATTAAAATAAGTCCAAACACGATGTATGTAATTCGGACCACGTTTATTGACGTGCTTCTTTTTATCGAGTACTTGTTAATTACTCTGTAAACACACACAGCTTAAATTATTCCGGGTTACATCGTGTCAATGCTTACAAAGATAAGGCAATAATTATTGACAATGAAAATTTTTGTGTTGCACATTTATTTTTTGTTGCTCGCAGGATCCCTTCAAATTTCAGATTTCAGTTATTCGATCGTGTGTTTAAATTCACATGTAAATTTAACCGTGCGCTGCAGTACGCCGATTGAATGTAATATACAACTTAGATTTTTCCTCCAATTATGTCGAACCCTTTGCGCTCCAAGGTATTTTCTTCCTTTTATTTCAGAATTTGCTGTAACGCAGTCCATGCATATTCTCGTATGTGACTTTGCAACCTAACTACAGGGTGTCCAAAAATTATTGTACAAGTGGGAAATATGGGGTTCCTGAGGTCAGTCGGCGCTCCGCCCTCGCGGCCATTGTCGCGTCGCGCCGGGCGTATGACGCAGCGGCAGTGGTCGCGAGGGCGGGGCGTCGGCCGTACGCGGTCTCTCATTGGTCAGTGTTTTTCATTAATAACTCGCAAACGAAGCCGCGGATCGCATTTTCGCTAAGGAAAAAGTTGCTTCAAATGACCTCAGGTACGCAAAGGGTTAAGAAAAAAATTGTTTAGCATCACACCCTCGAATAAATATTCAAAAAATCAACGACATCATTTTATATTGTTATATTAGATGTGCTCTAAAATTGTTCGACGAGTTTGATCGATGTTTAATGTGTCTTCAGTTTCCAGAGAAAGCGACAAAAGCAGAGTCACCAAACACAAGATCGAAGGAATCGTTCGAGAGGGTACCATTCATCACAGCAGCATTGACCCACCTTGGCTTCTATATTCTTATGTTCCTGGGTTTTATAAACCAATTGTTTTTCACACCGAAAGTCGCGAAAGAGTACAACAGAGAGGTAAGACGTGAGACGGTGTATACGATGATGATTTCGTTAGTCGATTTAATGTCTCGTATTCTGAAAAGGAACACAGATCACGACGTTACGTTGAAAGAATAAAATTATTTCACAGGGATTTTCATTGCCATTTTTACTAAAAGCAACTATTCGCTGTTGCCAAATCTTACGATAAATCGTAAATGCGTATATCTACAGGGTGTCGAAAAATTATTGTACAAGCGAGAACTGAGGGATTCCTGAGGCCATTTGAAGTAACTTTTTCCTTAGCGAAAATGCATTCCGCGGCTTCGTTCACGAATTATTAACGAAAAACAGTGACCAATAAGAGGGCGAGATCAGCTGGCGCGAGGCGGCCAATAAGCGGAACTGCGCTTCGATCGCTCGTTGGCTCGGCCGCTTCGCGCCAGCTGTTCTCGTCTCCCCATTGGTCAATCGTGTTTCGTCGATAACTCGTCAACGATGCCTCGGAGAACATTTTTGTAAAGGAAAAAGTTGCTCGAAATGATCTCAGGAATCCTGTATTAACACTTTCACGACCGCGCCAAAAAGCACACAAATTTCATAAAATCGAAGTATTTAATTCAATTGAATAAAAATCGCGAAGCAAACTTTTTTTCTTACGCAGCATCGGTTACAGTTATGAAAAATATCTTCGTTCGACAAACGTGCTGTTCGAAGTGTTTCGAAGCCCATATCGTTGGAGCCACAGCATTGAAAAGTAAGAGTGACATAATTCAGGACACGGTGGGTTAAACGAAACAATTCGCAGTCATGAATTATCTTACATATTGCGTACGAATGCGACCACGAGTTAAAATTGGTTACAATCGAGTCCAACGAACGGACCCGGTCGGATTGATTTTAATAATCGGATTCGAGAAACTGCGAGAACAGTGAAAAGATATCGGCACGCGTTTTTTTTTTATAGATCTCGACAAATATCTATAATAAAATAAGCTTCGCGCGCGGAGATCGCAGATTCGTCTATTGTCGCTCAATAAAAATAAAAATAAAATTCATTCAACAAAAATAGAGAAATAGTAACCGTACCACGTTTTTATAATTGTTATAACTCGAATAATCGTATCCCGGCTTCCCAAATTGTCCGAGCTGAGGAAAAATTGTGGAGAATTTACTTCTATTCGAACTTTCAAAAAAAAATAAAATAATACAAAAAATAATTTAACCAAACACTTTTCATACTCGGAACTTCTAGCATGACGCTCGCGGATTCTACGAAATAGATTGTCACGATATTCTCCGAAATAACGGTCGATTAAACGAGTCCAACGATGCAATTAATAGTTCGAAGATAATAATTGAATTGCGTGTGGAAAATCAAGCAGCGTGCGACGAAAGCGTAGAATGAACGATGAAACGATTTTTCGGATTTTCTTTGATTACCAGCGGGCATATGAGTATACGAGTAATAAAGGATTGAGTGAAATCTGATTTGTCTTTTTCAATTAACAGGTCGATTAGTTTCGCGGCGGCCACTCGAAGAAAGAAACGCTGAAAATACCTACCCTACTATCTCTCTGGTATAGAGCACAATCATCGATTAAACAGACGATATCTAATCGCGTCGAGGAAGACGGTATTCGGAAAGATAACATGTAAATATGTGGATTTAACGGGTCGCTGTTACATCAACGTTTCATGACACTGTAAGAATACACGGGATTAACTGTAACGGTGTATGCAGACGTTACAAAACCGATTGTCGGATACGTATTATGTACCGGTAATAATGTTTATAGTGTCAATATTATTCGGGTTATGTAAAGGAAATCGGTGCGTTTTGTTTTATGATTGTAAACGCTCTATTGTATTTTCTTATATTTTTCGGAGGACCGCAATATATATAATATAATATTATAATAATATATTATAATGTATATAATAACTGATACCAAATAATTTTGTTTATATTGTATTTATATTGTTATATAAATACAATGTATTATATTGCTATTGTTAATAATATATATAAATTATTTGATATCAGTTATGAGACTATGCACAATAATTTTGACGTGTAAGCTTTTTCATTCATTAATGAATCAATTTGGGGATTTCTTTCTTTGCAGGAAATATTTTCTTCCAATCGTCGGCCAACATTCGATTTTCCAACAGAAAAAATCTGTGTTCCCTTTCGAGAAGCTAGTAGGAAAAGCCTAAAATCATGGAAGTCCAATCGCGAGATTTTTTCTTCCGCGATTTTCGGATCTAACGCGCCGGCTATTGATCAAAAGACGCCGAGAATCTGCCGCGGCAGCCGAAGCGGACATCATGAGTATTTCCTGAAAGATTTAACCGTTGCTTATCGCGGCAATTGATACCGCTCGAAATCAACCGAAGAATTGTTAGGGCCGTTATCATTCTCGCGAAGATGATAGAAATAAGCGAAAACGATGATCTGTTACACGACCGGCGTCTGAACGATAAAACGATAATGTGTTTTGTGTTGCAGGGCTACGCGCCGCTTTACGAAAATTTCGAAAGGTTTTATCTTCGTTACGTGTACAGAAGAGTGAGAGACTGCTGGAACAGGCCGATATGCTCTGTTCCAGGCGCAACCGTTACGCTCAAAGATAGAGTAACATCGGATTACGGATGGTCGTTTCAGTAAGTCGTCTACAATGAACACACGGTAATGCTCACTTACATTTGAGAGATTCGCGTGTCGGAAGTGAAATCCTCGCCTAACAGGGTAGAGTTGCTCTTTCAGGAATTGACTCGAGCACAGCTAAATGAGAGAATAGTTGCAATGAGTAAGTAAAAAAGAAAAAGTATTCGCACGATTTTTGAAACGCGATGACTTTTTTTTTAACTTGATTTCTTCTTTTTTTAGGTGATAGAGGGACTGGTGTACTAAACGATGACTAAAATGCTTTTTTTTAGAACTTTGCTGAAGATTTTAAAAAATGTTTCTCGTACATCAAATTAAAGATGCGAAGAAGTTGCTGTTTTGACCAAAAACTGCAAGAAATCTGCAGTTTTTTTTTAAAATCTTTCAACGCCCACGACTGGATTAAAATTACAAAAGGCGTTTCTTAAATTTTCGTTATAAGCTTGGATGAAAATGTTAAAAAACGGGAGTTATATTTTTTCGCGTCATTCCAAGTAATAGCAAAATTAATAACGAAGCATTTTAGTCATTGTCTAATATACTGGCTTCTCTGTTACCTAAAAAAAAATTTAAGTTATTTGGTGCAGTTTTAAAAAAGTTATTGTGTGTGTGCGTCTCAAAAAGTGCGCGAATATTTTTTTTACCCACTGTAACAAGCGATGGCGGAGCAGACGAAATCTGTCGAGCATCGAAGCAAAAAAAAAAGTAAACATGCAGTAGAGAAAATTTCATGTTTAGTCATTATCGCCTTTATAATATTATAATTGCAACGCCAATAGTTAGCTGAGATTTTTCCGATTAAAATAAGCCCAAACACGGTGTAAATCGCTCTATTTACGAATCTCGTGTAAAATTAATATAATTTTATTAATATAATCAATAGAAAGTTAGTTCGATTAACGTCACGTTCGGTCTCATTTTCATCGGAAGAATTTCAACAATCCACCGGGATACTACATTGAAAAAGCCGACGCAAAAATGACTAAATTCAAAAGTTTCATTATTGCATGATTATTTGTTTGCATTCGCGTCATCTTTTCGCAAGTTTGTCGCTGCCCTTTGGTTAGGTTCGCTCTCTGTCGTTCGCTGAGATAAGAAACCTAACCCAAACATTACACCGCTACCCGAGCCCGACGCAGTCGGTGGTGGGGGGAAGCGGGAGGCTGAAACGTGGAAATTCGAGCGTAAAAAATCCAAATAAAATCTAAGTGAGCATAACCGTACCAAGAATTCCATGGACGAAAAGAATCGATCGATCGATCGATTTACTCGTATCGGTTAAATTCATCGAATTGCCCGTTGCAAAGTCATCGTTGATCGATTTACGTTTCGCGGGTTCGACCGCGGTCTCGATTTCGCGACAGCAATTCCGTTCATTGAGACCGAACGAAACGATTTCCGTTAGCTTCCTCACGGTTAACCTTTCCACGGCGATTTCGGAAGCCGGCGAGGACTGTGCACAGATTCGAAAATCGTAACGAGCCAATTGGAGAGATACAGGAAGCCAGACATTTGTCTTGATTAAATGTGATGAAGAACAGGAAGAGGTTTTGCGGGCCGGCCGGCGTGATTCGCTTTTAATATCTCGGGAGCCGATCCCGGCGCATCGAGGGCTTGCATTTGAAAACGACAACACGAATTCGAATTCAGGTCGCTGCTGTAATCTCTCTTCGGCATTGGCTCGATGCGATTCCGATCGTGGTGCCGGTGTTCGCCGCGTCGTTCTATTGGGTTGGCAACTAAGTAATTGTCGATTTGATCAATGAAATAAAAAATTTTTTTTTACTTGGAACGAAGTTTAATCTGTAATGTATTTTCCACTTTGTTCGATGACCTTCTGCCATCTCTCTGACAACTTGAAAATTCCACGCTCGTAGAAAGTCTGATCCTTCTCGACCAAAAACTGAGTTAAGTTGCTAACACTCACGGATAATAAAAAATAGCAATAATAATAATATAATATATATTATTATTATGTTATTTTTTTATAAAAATGGGAGTGAGAGAGATCTATAACTGAAATCGGGCAATTACTTAGTTGCCAACCCAATAGAAATCGCGTTTCGAATTAGTCGACAGCGCTTGCCGAAGAAGCGTGCCGTTTACCGGGATCTTTTTGTTTCAGGTTTACCGGAACCACCACGAAATGTATAAATCTGGGATCGTACAACTATTTGGGCTTCGCCGAGTCGACCGGGATATGCGCTGACGAGAGTATCGAAACTTTAAAAAAGTTCGGTTGTGCCAGCGGCAGTGCACGTCTCGAACTTGGTAATTAGTTGTTTGCGCTATCGTTCAATCTTCGTAGCGTGTTGCTCACAGCTCAGACTAGCAAGATCAACGAGAAGATCAGTAGACCGTGGAAATCGGCTTTAGAATGACCTTAAGTGCGAATTACAGTAAACGCTTGTTGTTCCAAAGCCGCTTTGGAGCATATAGTATAGGAGTAGAACGTATTTGCTTGTCACCGAGCATTTAATTGTACACGTCTCGAACTTTGTAATTAGTTGTTTGTGCTATCGTTCAATCTTCGTAGTTTGTTGCTCACACCTCAGACTAGCAAGATCAATGAGAAGATCACTAGACCGTGGAAATCGGCTTTAGAATAACCTTAAGTGTGAATTGCAGTAAACGCTTGTTGTTCCAAAGCCGCTTTGGAGCATATAGTATAGGAGTAGAACGTATTTACTCGTTGCCGAGCATTTAATTGTGCACGTCTCGAACTTGGTAATTAGTTGTTTGCGCTCTCGTTCAATCTTCGTAGCGTGTTGCTTACAGCTCAGACTAGCAAGATCAACGAGAAGATCACTAGAGCGTGGAAATCGGCTTTAGAATGACCTTAAGTGTAAATTGCAGTGAACACTTGTTGTTCGAAAGCTGCTTTGGAGCATATAGTATAGGAGTAAAACGTATTTGCTTGTCACCGAGCATTTAGTTGCAAGACGAAGCTTTATAAGCACACAACACAGATAGCTTTGCAATGTGCATATACATATTGTAGCCAGATAAGGTCACACGCTTGTAGACGATAATATCCATGATAAATCCCATTATACAGAGCGGTCTACGCAACTGTTTCAGGTCATAACCCCGTTATTAATGCGTTTACGAAAAGAATGCCAAAGGAAAAAGGTAAACGGCTCGAACAGCGCTACATTTGTAGAATCTTGGATTTTTTCTAAGCGCATCCGTGCATGTACCGTTAACAATTGCATCATTTCTTTAAACGGAAATGCATATTTTTTATTGCGCAGATAAATTCCTCTTTTTCACTTTACGTAAAAAATTATCAGGGTATCATGGCAATAAGATTATTAGTTCTCGAGATATTTTCAAAAAATGTCTTTACCGAAAGAACACAACAACAAGAAAATCATTATAAACAATTTATATTCGTTCGAGAACTTCGTTTCATGGGAATTATATTTGAATATTCGTCGAGCAAGTGTACAGGGTTACGTTAGCCGCGCATTTGCGGTCATAGTGCGGCAGCGACAAAAAATTTACAACTAATTGCGAAACTGCTTGCGGTTTAAATTCTTCATTTCGACACGTGGTTAACAGAGTGGCGCGTGTTCAACTTTAATCGATGTGCACAAAATAAAACAAAACATAGTGGAATAATGATCGACGACTGCGATCAATTTTCAAGCTGGATTACGAACTTATTCAGATAGAAGTTTAATAAAATATCAGGAATCTGTAGGTTTTGTGTGTATCGATACATTATTTCTTCTTCGATTCAAGTATAAGTGGGAAAACCGAACATATTTTTAAACTAAATTGTTAAATCGATCATTAATAATGGAATAATTTAGGATTGTCGCGTTAGAAGATTTAACAATGACCTTTAAGGTGGCCACCATGGTGTAACGATTTTTTTTGTTTGTTTAAGGTAACATGCCGATTCACGAGGAGCTGGAAAAACTGACGGCTAGATTTCTTGGTGTAGAGGACGCAATCGTTTTTGGAATGGGATTCGCGACGAACGCTCTCAATCTACCTTCGTTGTTGACAAAAGGTTGCTTGGTGCTTAGCGACGAGAAGAATCATGCTTCCTTAATACTTGGATTAAGATTGTCCGGTGCCACTATCAGAGTGTTCAATCATAATAGTAAGTTCGAGGAGAATAATAACACGTAAACCGCCATCGTATTAAAGAAATATGATTGCGATGATCGCGATGATCGCGGGAAACATTTGTTTAAGTAACTCCGTCGGTCCGAGTTTATTTATCTCATATTATATACCATTGACCTAACTGCTTTATTAAAATGAAACTGTACGCGATAACATGGAAATTTTGTAAATTCTCTTGTCGCAGATGTAAAACATTTGGAGACTCAGTTGAGAAGTGCCGTCGTTTTCGGCCAGCCAGGATCTGGGAAACCTTGGAAAAAGATAGTAATCGTGGTCGAAGGTGTTTACTCCATGGAGGGTTCCATTGTACATTTGCCCGAAATTTTGGAGCTGAAAAAGAAGTACAAAGCAAGTAGACGTTCGTTACAGATTGTGAACGATCCCATACGAAATAATCAGTCTAAATCTAATATGATCTCGTTCTAATTATCGGCATATTTTTATTCCAGGCATACGTTTATCTGGATGAAGCTCATAGTACGGGCGCGTTAGGCAAACACGGAAGAGGCGTATGCGATTACTACGGAATTGATCCACGGGAGGTGGACATACTCATGGGAACATTTACGAAAAGCTTTGGATCCGCTGGCGGATATATTGCTGGAACAAAGGTGAGGGAATTATTGAACGAAGAAAGATTCAATACTGTACGATTCCAGTAGGGTTTCTTAAGATAATGCTTTAATCTTTCCGATAATTTCGAAAAATAATATTAACCACGCTGATTGTATAATTTTAGACATTAATAAATCATTTAAGGATATATAGTCACGCGCATACCTATGCAACGGCGATGTCCCCGCCAGTGGCACAGCAAATTATTACATCCATGAAAATAATTGCCGGCGAGGACGGCACGAACGATGGACAGAAGAGAACGAAACAGCTGGCAAGGAACACCAGGTACTTCAGACGTAGATTGAATCAAATCGGAGTCATCATTTACGGAAACGAAGATTCGCCGGTAGTACCTATGTTAGTCTATCTGTTTTCAAAAATTGGGTACGTACGGACAGCAGATCTACTGGCAAAAAATCGTAAGTTGAAACTGAGAATTGAAATCCTGATATTTTTTTCGTTAACAGTGCAGTTGTACGGACGTTAACGATGTATAACATAGCAGCGGTAGGTGTTGGATTCCCAGCAACTCCTCTAATGGAAGGTAGAATACGTTTTTGCCTGTCTGCTGCACACACTAAGCAACAGTTGGACTATGTAAGCTTATTGAGTCGTACATCATTTATATCCGATAAAGATATTCTCATTGCTGTTTTAATAATTATCTAGGTATTGTCACATATCGAAAGTCTTGCGGACTCGTTGGGCCTAAGATATTCTCGGAAAGTTCGCGACCCAGCACCGATTGAGTATTACTCCGACGGAGAGAACGAATGACCTACCACTTAGATAATAGCCTCTATAGGACGTATACTTTACTCCAAAGAAGCGCGTCGCACTTCTGCGGACAATGCACTGGTATTATATTACCGCAATTGCATTTATTTCATACTCTGCTTCTTACATCGAGACCATTTCGCTGTGACAAAAGCATTAACACGTTAAGCTTCGGTTTCATTCCAAATATTCTTTGGGCCCACTTGGCGCTTAACATGTTAAACAATAACGTGCCAGGTGCAGTAACGCAGAATATTGCAGAAGTTTCTATTTTACATAGATAGTATTCCTCAATAAAATGTTAAAGAACTTTTATCATAGCGCGAATAGTTAAAAGATTAGTACTTGAACCAGATTAGCAAGAGGTATTTGTCATTTCAACTTACTTTTCGAATTCATACAATAATTGAAGACAAGAATTATCAGATTTAGCTGCCACATTAAGAGAATACAAGGTTTCAAATGTGTATGCTGTTCAGAATGTCATTATATTTGACACGTTTATACACATTTCTAAAGTAATTTTTATTTTGAAAAATAATTGTTTACAAAGGAAAATGTTTTTTAATTCCTTTACATTTCCCCCTAACAATTCATGGTTAATTAGCATTTTAAGAAACCGTAATTCATTTCGAAATGAATATCAAAACGCGTGTAGACACTTAGAAAGGTAACTTCATGTATTTTTTTATTAAATTAACATATCGTAACTAAACGACCACATAATTAATCTTTTTATAAAAGCGATTGTATCCTGTTTCAGGGTCGGTTAAATACATATACAAACATGTTTTTTATATCGTCGCATTCTTCATTAGAAGAAACATTTTAATTTCGCGATGATTGCAATAATATTATAAAGTATATCGAAATTTATTTTAATGAACGATATAAATCTAAATCGGAACTATTTTCTTTTAGCAAATGCGGTCTACATTTAATGATAGATATTTTAAATATTTCTAACTTACGATATATAAGATACGATACTTATGATAGATAGTTTAAATGATTATTTTGTTCGTATATCATTGTTAAACAATAAAATTTGGATAGCAAATATTTAAGTTTCCTCGAGTTTTTAATACATTCGAAAGTCGACGTTCCCATATTGTTTATTGTATTCGAGCTATTAAATTTTTACACAAGAGAGTAGATTTTGTATTCTTCCTAAAATAATACTGTTCGCAGATATACAGTCGTCGGGCTTGTACGGCGGCTTTATAGACAGAACATCTTCGATCATCAAGATGTTCTCTTTCTCTTTAACCGGGAATCTATTTTCACGGAGCATTTTAACAACTGCGTTTTTCCGTTCGTCTAATGTTGATTGAAGAAGACACGTTTGCGGATTCATAAATAATGTTGGTAATTCGTGTAATTTATCCGAGCGAACTTCTATATTCTTTATGACATGCCCAAAAACGAGTTTCAAATGGTTCTGTTGGCAGCCTTGTAACAACACAATGCTGAAAGTAGATATGAATTAATGAAAGATTTCAAAGTAATCGGAGAGATGCGTGAAGAACAATGTCAAGCGGATCGGATCGTTATCGTCGGATTCTCAAGTGCCTTTACAGACATACATTGCATACAATACTAACCTTTCTGATACCGGATCAACCGTATAAACGATCCCAGTAACCGCTGAGTCATCTTTATTTAAAATATTTACTTCCTTACCAACGTAGCTCTTAAACAGCAAGGGATCATTTTTATAAATATTGTGAGAAAAATTTAAGTTTCTTTCCATGACACACAAGCAACAATATTTTTGCGAGATTGTCAAAAAACAGCATACGCTGCTTATACGCACCACACTTCAAGAAGCCTACGTACACTTACACTCGTCACTGTACATATAGGTACTATGGTTTCGTTTCGTTGCTAGCTTTTTAGTCGTATCGTAGTTCGCGACATAACCTTAAAGAAAACTGACGTTAATAGTGTTCGTGCAAATGATAACTGTGACGCTAAAAACGATAAAATCTTTTCATCGAAATTGTAATAATTAGTTACACGTGTGAGTTGGTGACTAATTATTAAGATATTTGAATTTTATGAAAATCATATAAGCATGGTCATATACGGCGTCTATATCGTGTCAAAATCAGGTGGTTTAATTTTTAATCATGATCACAATGTTCCACGAATTGAAAATGAAAGGGTCTTTAATTATCCGTTGGACCTGAAGCTTAGATATGAAAACAAAAAGATCGTGGTATCATTTGGTCAGAAGGAAGGAATTAACGGTAAGAAAAATACAAAACAGTTTTTTCTTTTTTTAAATTAAATTGTTACAATGTAATACAAAAATAATGATAAACTTATTTACAGTGGGTCATGTTCTAACGGCAGTGAATGGCAATGCGGTAATAGGAAGGGAACTAGAAAATGGAAAGGATGTATTTGATTTGTTGGAGGAGCCAGAATGTTTTCCTTTATCGCTTAAATTTAGCCGTGCCAGGATGACTACAAATGAAAAGATTTTCTTAGCATCCATGTTTTATCCTTTATTTGCAATTGCTAGTCAACTCAGTCCTGAACCACGTTGTTCGGGAATTGAAATTTTAGAAGCAGATACATTTAGGCTTCATTGTTATCAAACATTAACTGGTATTAAATTCATTGTTGTAGCAGAGTCGACGCAAAGTGGAATAGAGATTCTATTGAAGAGAGTGTTCGAATTGTATGCAGATTATGCTCTGAAAAATCCATTTTATTCATTGGAAATGCCGATCAGGTGCGAACTGTTCGAGACAAATTTGCAAACTTTGTTGGAGAACGTTGAAAAGTCTGGTGCCAGCAGTGCATAACATACTGTAGATTAAATATATTATTGCATAGTGAACGAAGTCATCACTATCAATAAGATTGTATATAAACAGGGATAAAATGAGAAGTGCTTCTATGCGTACTTCGTTGTGTAAAATAAATAAGAAATTATATTAAATCCTATTTTAAATATATATATACACATGTTAGAATGTAAACGATAATTTCTTTATATTTAGTATGAAATATATAATATATTACAATATAGTAATACATCTTTCAAAAAAAAAAAAAAAGAAATCAATAACTACAATTCTTTCTGAGGTAGTGCCCTAATTTTTTCAGTTTTCTCCACAAAACTGAAAATGTCATTAGCCAAAAGTTGCGGCTCTTCGAAAGCTGCAAAGTGTCCTCCGCGTTCCATGAGATTGTATTGAATAATATTAGGATATCTACTTGAAAGTATACTCTTAGCCGTCAAAAGCAGTTCATTGGGGAAAGCAGCACAGGCCGTAGGTACCTTTACCGGTAATCTAAAGAAAGAAACAATATTTGAAACACTAATCTATAACATAATACATTTGTAACATTTTGAACTATATACTTACTGGTCAATTTTTGTGGCTCTGGATGCAGCACTAAAATTCTCTGCATAAAGACGAGCGCTAGTAGTAATACTATTCGTAACCCAATATACCATTATATTATCTAAAATTTCATTGATGTTGAATCTGTCTTTTATTCCACCATCATCTCGTTGTCTGTAAGCTTTATTTGTCCATGTGCTGAATTTTTCCAAAATGTACGCTGCCAAACCATCTGGAGCGCTTGCTAGAGCAGCTCCTGATGTAGAAAATTTCAAAAATTTGTAAATACACGTCATATAAATCAATGTACCCTACGTTCCATGAAAGAAAAATGTACCAATTGTGTCTGGTTTTGTAGCTTGTATGTGGAAATATCCGCTCTCTTCGATCAGATTCGAGAGATGTGCACTCACAGGGAAATACATAGAATAATGTTCACTGTCTACTCCTACCAAAGACGGAAAATATGTGCCCACTATCGACCAAAACAAAACTTTCGGTCCCATCGCGGAACACATGTTGCTATGTAATCCAATGACCCTGTGAAGAAAATCGAATAACAAATCTGTGTTGACCTTTCTTGTTATCGGTTTGGTTTTACTAACTTTTCTGGGAAAAGAACACCCATGTTCGCGGCAACAAGAGCTCCCCAATCGCCTCCTTGAACGTAAAACTTCTCAAACTTGAGTCTCTGCATTAGATTTTTAAATACAACTGACATCTGAAATAAAAAATACATTTTTTCATTTTTTTGAAGAATAACAATGACTTTACAGTTCTATTTCGTTTTCATAAATGCAGAAAGAAATTACTTGAGCGGTAGACATTCCTGGCCGAACAGCTCCTTCAGAGAATCCATATCCAGGCAGTGACGGTGCGATCACCTCGAATACGAAATCGCGATCCGGCGACGGTGTTGTTAATATGGGTATTATTTTCTGAAATTCGACGATCGATCCAGGCCATCCGTGCAATAACAGCAAAGGAAGAACTTTCAAGTTCCTATTCTTTGGTAGATTAGTAGGGCGGACGTGATAGAAGTGTATATCCAAACCTGAAATTAATTGTATTATTAATTATTATTAATTTTTAATTGTATTAAGCTGCTTGCAAGTTGTTCTCATTTCGACGGTTTAAAAATAATCGAATCCTCTTTTGCACTTATATCTCGCAGTAACGATAATATTTCGAACACAACACACTTTTAAAACACAATAATTTTTTAAAAATTAGACCAGTTTTACTATTATATTGTGGTGGATTAATGTACGTAATATCAAAAAAATTCTAATATGATTTTTCCATAGAGAATATCAAAGATAATATCTATAGGGAAAGTTGTTCAGAATGGCGACCTTGACAGCATATTTCAAGGTCATCAAAATCGATGGAAAGATTTCTAAATAATTACCTAAAGATCTTTTTAGTTTTTCTATCTTAGACAACAGCTGTTTTTACAAAAGATAAGATCACTATAATTCGCAGAAACAAAGATCTTATATATTCTTTAAAAATTAATAATTCTATGTACAAAGTTTAAAATTGATGCGTGAATTTATTAGTTCTGTTTTCAAACATTCGAAGATTTTTTGACCGTCTAAAATGAGAAACCCATTAACATTTAATTATTTTTAAATGATGGTTTTTCTACCTTGAATGACAGTTTTGAATTGCGGATATTTATTGAGCAATGCTTGTCTCTCCGTCCAGTTGTACTTGTCCTTCCAATGATCAAGCACCGAATTTAGGAATTCGGTTGAAATACCGTAAGTCCATCCGACGTTTTCCAGCGGTTGAACGTACGATCTTCTAGTTGCGAGGCGGTGTTTCAAGTCCTCGATGACCTTGGTGCAACAATAATACGAATATTTTATATATATAATATTTTATATTTATATATATATATTTATTTAAATATATATAATCTAATAATAATATTATAATAATATAATATATTATATTATAATATATAGTATAATATATTATATTATTGTAATATTATTATAATATATAATATAATCTAATATATATAATAATTATAATTATTATATAAATATTAATATTAATAACTCTAATATATATTTATCATATTATATAATATTTTATATATAACGAATATTTTCAAGTTTGCCGCGAAAGAATGCCAAGGAATAATAATTGATTTGATTACTCACAGAGGCCGGCACGTCTATGGTGAAAGGTCGTATATCGGTGGATTCTTTCTTAACTTTCGACGGTCCCCAATACGTATCAGGTAAATTCGGTACAGTGGGATCATTGTTCGATGTACTGAAAAATAGAGGGAACAGTAGAGATTCACGTTAAATAGTTCACACAAACGGATACCGTGATAAAACTCGAAAGTATCAAAATAAATCGGACTTTGCACGCTCAGGTTTATCACGATCACGATACACTTTCAGATTTAGCGAATAACAACGTATTGTAGAATCTGTGTCGTCTGTGAAGTATATCAATCGATAGTGTTATCTGTTGATGTAACATTATTCGTAATAAAGGACATTCGGTGAACTACACGAAGTTGCTACATCATGCAGTTATAAAATTGCAACTCACGATATTTAAAAAACTGCGAATTATACGGATATGTACACATTAACGATATCTGTATTTTTTCAATATTCCTAGAACAACTCGTTTGACCGGCAATAACATATGTACACATTAACGATATATTATTGCCGGTAAAATGAGGTGTTCTAGGAATATTGAAAAATTATTATTATTATTATAAAGTATTGAGAAATTATTGAAATTGTAAAATCGTTGCCAAAAATCTCAGCGAATTCGACTTTGCAACTTTTAGAAGACCACAGTAATAATAAACTAAAACAGGGATCGTTTTAGGAATATTGAAAAATTATTATTATTATAAAGTATTGAGAAATTATCGAAATTGTAAAATCGTTGCCAAAAATCTCAGCGAATTCGACTTTGCAACTTTTAGAAGACCACAGTAATAATAAACTAAAACAGGGATCGTTTTAGGAATATTGAAAAATTATTATTATTATAAAGTATTGAGAAATTATCGAAATTGTAAAATCGTTGCCAAAAATCTCAGCGAATTCGACTTTGCAACTTTTAGAAGACCACGGTAATAATAAACTAAAACAGGAATTGTACAAAATTATTATTTTATAATTGCTATGAATTGATGTTATAACTAAACTATTGAGATGATACAGATGATTCATCAGCGCTTTCTGTTAATAAATAAATAAGCTTTGTGAACACCGATGAGGACGCAATTACGAAATAATTCCGTAAATCAATGGGTTCAATGTTTAATTTGTTTCTTTTTTAATCGTTCGTTTTCTTTTTAACGGTATTCCTTCCGTTGCTTATACATTATTTTTATTTTGCATGATTTTACTTATAAATTCTGGTGATAAAATCGGTATGGATAAGACACGCATAAATATGCAAAAGGTGTTACGGTAAAAATAGACGTAACGACATAAACAAGCTTTTAGAATGAAGTTTTTCCGATTATAATAGTAACAACTTTTGATAATCTTTAACTTCTGATTATAATAGCGCCAAGTAAAGAACATAACCACTTACAATTAACCGAATTTAAATCAGCAGCAATTATACTATGTCTATTACACGGATTTATCATAATTAGATACAATGAATATGCAAAGCAAGTAATTTACAAATTGTAAAATTGTAGAAAATTCGGTTTAAATTAAAATAAATTACGATACATTGATAGAATTTCCGGGAAAAAATAGCAATTGGTTGAAATGACAAAAAAGGGTTTTAAAATTAACTTTTTCATCTGAGCCTGTATATCGGAAGCGGTTAAACGCTTGTAACTCCATTATACAACATTTTTAAATAATACGTATCATTTCTATCTGCTTGCAAAGTGTTCGCTGTTTTTTTTCTTCAGTTTTGTATTTAACATTTCCGAACGCGATATACTTTATGTGCTTATTTCGACATATTTTAACCGTACAAACATCCGTTATCTGGAGTCCAAAGTAAACGAACAGAAAAAAAAAATTGTTCGTTCCTAGTGATCTGAACCGGTACCGGCTATTAGCTTCAATAAGAACTGGCGCTGTTACGCCGACGTTCTACGTAGTCTCGAATAAAAAGAAAATTGTTCGTAGCTACGATGTTTCTGTCAGCAGAAAATTCTTCGCAACCTTCCAATTCCAATTCTGCCATCGAACAATTAAAAATCTTATATCCGATTCGTTATATAATCAGCTTTCGTTTGTTTTTTTTCTCATCGAGATTACGTACTTTGCCTCTATCGAAATCTATGAAATTATCGTCAACACGACAGGTACGGTGCACGGTATTTTATTTGCAACATTCGTCGTTCCGCGGTTAAATCGCAATTACGAGTTTAATATTCACTTATCGCGACACGCAGCTGAAAACGTCCGTTACGATTGCGGTGGATATAATCAGGAATTTTCCTATCGAACTAAAACGCACTCACGTAAGTAGCGAACGAAACAATTCTTGCTTTGTCAAACGAAGCCGATCAATAAGAATGTAGAAAGCCGAAAGTTACATGTATATTATGAGCTATCAAAAAAAGAAAAGAAAATCAGAATTTCCTTGATAATTCGATATTGCATTTAACCGAACGGTATTCTCTAAAAAAAATCGGCAGATCATAATGATCTTCACGTGTTTAAAACACGTTCCTTATTCTTAGATATTGATTAATATTTACCATGATATTGTTAAGAAATTCTATTTACAAATCGGGCTGAATTCATGTTATCAACGCGAAGGATATTGTGCAACGTAACCGGGGAAAGATTTCAACATTTGTACGAATGAGAACTATATAAAAAAATATCGATAATGTAACGTTTTATTTCATATGTTGCTTGTTAAAACAGTCGAACGATTTACCTTAAATAAACAATTATCCCAAGAGTGATGGGAGCGAGCAACGCAGCGGCTTTCAACATGTTGTACGATCGTGCGCGAACCACTAAATGAACTGTCCAACGGGTAGCTCAGAAATAAGTATTTCACAGCGGAATTTTACAGTGTAGTTAACAAGAAAAATAAGGATCGCACAGGTACAGTATTCGGTTTCGTTTAAGCAAAAAATGAGAGAATTTGCTACTCAGCACCATCTAGTGGTCGTATTCCAAAAGTTGCACGAGTTTATCAGTGCGTACATTTACATATGTAGCATGATCTGTGTACATCAATACATGAACTTCGGCGCTGTTGTATCAGTGATCGACACAAGTTGACTCTTTTAAATTTGGAACTTTGATTTATTGCACGCGTGTCCAATTATTGTTTAATAATTCACTGTGTTTCAGTTTCAATTGTTGAACAAATACAAAATTTTTATACGCATAATACGCATTTTAAATACGCATAGAAAACGTATGCGATCGCAATATTATAGTTATCGTAATGATAAGTTTCGACGAACAATACAATTTATTATGGAGGTGTTCACATAATGTAACAACGGAATTTCGTTTAGACTGTATTCAAATTTATTTGATAAATAAAAATCAAAAAATATTTACGGTTACAGTGCTTATGATATACTAGTAACTAAAAAGTTATATGTTCTCGTTCAAGTACCATCGTAGGAGAATGCACAAAAATGTTTTCTACAACAGGGACAGTACGTATTCGTTGGGAATTACTATTAATTATGCGAACACGATATTTTATCGTTTAGCGGTAAAACAACCTTACGCTATTTTGCATTAGACTACTATCTAACAAATCAGTTTTTCTGTATAATAATTATTCGGAAGCAATCTTTGGCAACTTTGAACAGTTTGAACAATTACTATTGAAATATTTCTAATTGACTGTTTAACATCATCGTACACTTTTGTTTTCTATTGCGTAATCGTAGTACTCGCACCGAATGTACTCGACGTGATTTTCGATCTTCTTCAATAATGTTATGCAAATTGTAATTTTTCTAAAAACTTTGACCTTCCACCGTTACGACCCGTATCATCTGCATATATTACAATTACTTTTTGTATGGAAAAGAGTAATTTTTTTTATTTTCTACCATTTGTTTCTGAGATTCGTCAATTTTTTTTAAAGAAAAAATCATTCAAAATCAAAATGCATTTTAACTATAGTTGTAACAATAATTTAATTTACAAAATTTGAATACTCGAGAAAACTAAATATTAACATGAAATTAGACTAAAAGTTTTATATTTGTAAATATTTGTATAGATATTTTCTTAACAATTATTAGAAAGCACCATTAATATATTCAAGCAGGAAAATATCCTTACATACATAGAGAAACAATTATACGTTTTAAAGAAAAAGAATTCGTCTAATAATTGGAAGCACTATATTATGAACAAATTCATTATTTTAGAAAATCGAAACAGTTTTACATGTAATAATATCCGTTTATACGTAATGTAATAAGTAGTCTTTGTTATGAGTTTTGAGTGAAAGTAAGATTAATCAAAAAGACAAATATATATATAATCAAATTGTCGTTTCTTCAGCTGCAACTTTCTATTAGAAAGACATTTCTAGCATACCACACATTAAATGTTAATATTTGGAAACATTTTATATCACCTTTAGTCATATATTAATTATATGACGTATCTAATGTTTTTATGAAATTGTCAACAGTATACATTTATATGTGTGCTAGTTACCAGGTACTAGTTAATGTTTGCTTCATAAAAAAAGAACACTTTTTCTTAGATTGGATATAATACAACTTTCGCTACAATGGAGGACTAATGTACCTTTGGACAATACTCATGGTTCAGAATTACCTTGCGCGGAATTTATGCACTAACTTGTATGCCGGTTACACCAAACATGATTGTTCGAAATACAATATCAAATCGCTATAATGAATATATGTATGTAATATCGTTTATTCTTAAATTAGGGTTAGAAAATAACATTTAAATTATTTAATGCAATGTCAACTAGTATATATAAAGTACAACACCTTTGCGTGGCATAGGCATTCGTTTTTTTCTTCTTTTTTTTTGATTTTTAATAAATGATTTGTGTATGGCATTTTTCGTTTGATTAGCCAAAACCTGAGGAGCTCATATTTTATGAAAGTATTAAGGTAGTCGTATAAGATGTTATCGATATACATGACAACGTATCTTTAGTTGAATGAGCAATCTCTTGCAAAGGTATTCGCATTACGAAGACATATGATTCTGACTTTGAAAGTATAACAAATGCGCAAACGATATAACCAACCTGTTTACCGTCAATGTTTAAATACTCATTTTCATTGCGTACAACAATCTAATGTTACTTTGAACTTAGAAAGAAGCTTATCCCTAAAGCTTTTCAGACTATACCTCTTCTTTCTCACATGAGTAAAAGCAACAAGCTTTATCACTTGTTGCCACTATATGATTTTAAGAAGAATAAGAGATACAAGTGTTGATAATAGATTAAAAAGTTAAACAGAAGTTTTCCTGTATTATGCGAACGAAGCATTGTTAATTATGAAATCGAAATTAAAAGATAATCATGTGTTATCAATATAAGTGAAAAGTCAAAAGGCACCGTGTTCCCCCAATATCTTACAAATATCTCATTGCACCTTAAAACAGATCAGAACGTATTTTTATGTCCGTCAATAAATAAATACATCGTACAACTAAGTTTAGACAGTTAAATGAGTCTTTCGCTTCGAGGATACAAATAGAGTACTCTCGACATTTTAGAAAATATAATCTCAAATAAAATTTTTTAAATCGATCAATATAAACATTCTTAAATAAGGTGGCAGCGTTTCACGCTATATAATAGAAGAATTAAGAGCTTTTATACATTAAAACTTCAACACTTACTCTATAAAATTCTCGATCATGCGTTAAAAAAAGATCGAGACTAGTTGGAACGTTCAAAACTTTTTTAACAATCTACTGTCGATAGATGTAAACGAATAATAACAGATCCATGGCTCAATTTGTTACACTTGAGACTAGAACAAGTCCTCCGTGGAGAATGCTAAGACGATAATTCGAGACCTAAACGTGCAAACGCCATTTCCTTTCGCAATCGTATAATTTCCCAATAAACATCATGAACTGCAACAAATACATAATATTAAATATTCGTTACGTTTCCACTATATTATCTACTTATACTATATTTTATTATAATACTTTATATGTGAAGAAGAAACACTATGTTTAACATTTTACATTGCAAGCATAAGGAATCAAACGAAATACTATGAAACATTTTTTGTTTATTTTTGTTTTGAGAGAATTTTTGTGTATATCATAAGTAAAATTTAAATCTATGATTTACCTGAGCTTTTGACAAGACCACGCTCAATATAACGTAAATAATTCAAGAAATCGCAGACTGCTATAATCTATAAAAATAGGACATTCAAGTCAATTTTCAAATTCTTTAGAATATAAGCGACTTTTTAAATTTCCAAACTCACTCGGTTGCGACAAATTTGTGATATGCTGTACCACTGATTTTCTTGATCCCCAAGTCTCATGCGATAATAACATTGTCGCGGTGCTTCCAATAATATACATTTTCTGAAAACAATAGAATATAATTTTTTTTTTCAACATAACTAGAATTCTCTCTTTAATGTCGTGTTTCTATAACGGAACGTGTGACTCACTTTCGAAAAGTAAACTTAGTTTTGTCACTGATAGCCTCGATAAATATAATACCATCAAGAACGGCTTGTCTAACTCTTATACCCAACTCCTTATTAGGGAAATCAAGACAAAGGTCGATGTCTTCTTTAAAAATTCTACCAACAAAAGGGTCACCTTTGTCTACGCACGGATTAGCTTTCCATTTAAGAAACTCCGTGTGAATTCTCGGATCCACCTCCAAACCAAAATCTTTACATTCTTTGTCTCTATCCTTTTCTGATTCTTTTTTCCAATCTCTTTCCAGAGATTCTCGATCAGTTGGTAACGATGGTCTTTGTTCTCTCAACGGAGAGTCCGGTGGAGAATTCTCTCGTCCGTATTTTAAATTGAAATGCGACGGTGATCTAAGAAGAGAAACGTCTGAGGTAGTCAAATGTGCTTATAGATCGTTTTCACAGTAATCGTACCTTCGATGTTTTCTTGCAAAAAGACCTTGTTGACCATCTTCGATATTTAAACGACTTTTCGTATCGATTTGGGGATGTAAATGGAAGTTTGGTTTCGCTGGTGTTGAAGTCAACACCAGCGTTTTCAGAGCTGCAACCTCAGCAGCCAAAACTTCAGCTTTCATACGACTTTCTTCCAATAGGCGTTCCGCAGTAGCTTGGCGAACATTTGCTTCCCTAACCATGTTGTGCGCTTCCTATTGCATGCGATAATATTAAGTTACATTTGATAACAAATTTTCTACATTATTTTCATAAAATTATTTATTTTTTTTTACTTGAAAAAGGCTGGCAGTGAGTTCTTCCAATTCAGCTTCAACATCCTGTTTAATTCTTGAAAGTCTAGTAACTTCTTCATCTTTCAATTTCAGCTCCTCGTGAGCCCTCTTAAGTTCATCTTGTAATTTTGCTACAGCTTGTTCCTTTACTTCGGCTATAGCCCTTCCCCACTGTAGAGTAGTCGGCGAAGGTGGCGGATCGTTCTGTTTCATAGAACATGGTTTCTCCTCGCTTTCTGAATTCTTAAGTCGAGAAAGCAGTCACTATTTTAATTGAAATAAAATCATTGTATTTACATTAATTAGAACATAAACTTACCTGTATATCTTTCGAAGGTAATGATAGTTTCGAAGGGATATTACAGCAATTGATTTTGGACGAATCATTGATGTGATCCTTATTATTCGCTAAAATATCTGCATCCACCTCGTCGAATGTAATAGAAGATGATTTCTTGTTATGATTTTGATTTTCAAACAGTTTCTGTTCATTCTCATTCAATCTTGCCAGAATGTCACAGGATTTCGAGAGTTTTCTTTCTTCCATCGTTGATGAATTTTAATATCGCAATAGAACATTGTGGAGCTTTCCTTTGTACTTGACTGAAAGAGCAGCGTTGGTTGAACTAGAACTAAACGTAATAATCATTGAAAAAGAAATATTCTTACGTTTTAATATAAAGTAAATTGGCTAAAACTCGACTTTCCGACAACACTCAATAATCGGAGAGACTAATCTTAAAATAAACAGACACTTATTACACAACATCACATGTGTATATGTATAAATAGATACGTATACATATACATATGTATCATATATGCACGATCTCTGAATCTAAAAACAGAAATTACAAAATGCACAATTTTGATGCTTGTTTTATAAAACGATAAACGAATACCGTAAGTATTTGCACTTGTAATTTAAAGACACATTCCCAGCTTTCTCATAACAGCAGAATGTTATTATGTTTGTTTAATAATTTAAATACAAATATGAATAATAAACGTTAATACAACAATACCACAATAATTAGTTTAATTATTACAACAATGCGCTTCCGATTTGTAATAATCGTAGAATGCTCAACAAAGGGAGTAGTACCTCTTCTAACAGAGTGGCTCAATTAATAGCAATTTATCTCTGTAATTATAACTGTGGAAGGGATAATTTGATCAAGTATTCTTGAAGCTTACGAAAGCGAGCGTTTATTTAATAATAGAAACAAGAGGAATCATAGATTTTTTCACGTGTTGAGATGAAGAAAAATAAGATCAGCGTCCGCGCGCCGTGAAAACGAAATTCGTCAGCGTTCAAGAGAATCCGCGTATCGATCCGAAGTTGGTGTGATTCTAAACTGAAGAGTATTAACGTGCAGCTTACCCGTAAACTTCTCTTTACGCAACTCTCCTGCCATTAGTGGATTTGACGGAGATCATTAAAAGATATTCAAGTGAAAGACGAGGGGACGTCCGATACCGTTTTCGCGCAATATGTCAACTTCGTGTCACTCTTCCACGGCACGCTGCAGCCATCACCTTTTAGTGAGCCGCAACCTGACTGAAACTGAACCACCAGTCCCAGTCGCACGGAATGAATGAACTTTCAAGCGCCACAGGTTACCTACTGTACAACGCTCGTACTACCTCGTACCAGCTCGTACTTAAGCTCCGTAGATTACGAAGCGATTGGGGGTTTACACTTGTCACGAATTACGCGAAGAATTCGGTTCATTTTAACGCTTTTGTTTAGGAAATAGTTTTTCATGGATCATGAACTTTTTCATATTATACGAATTATGGGATTCGAAATTAAATTATACAATCAAACGAATACGCGATTAATTATATACGTACATGTATGTACGAATACATGTCAGAATGATCGAATTTTAGTAATCGGCTCAAATTCAATGTCGTTAAGGAATACAAATTTCTCTGCGGTTCTAATCACCGTTAGTATACAAGAATAGTTCAATATGACTATGTGATCACCGTTAGTAAAATAGTTAGTAAGCGATTCCTGTAGATTCAGAGAATTGAATAACATTTGTATACTTTGTAAATTGTGTACAATTTTTCTTTCGTCTGCAAAAAAATTGGTTTCAAGATTTCACGAAGTAGAAGCGCACTCTCGAGCGTTCACGATTCTTTCGATCATAATAGAAAATTGTACGAAGCTTTATTTTATTTGCTATATATACTATAGGCTCTGATAATACATGCATACGAAATATTTAATTGGATATGTACATACGAAATATTCGAGCGTTGAATTTTCATTTGAAAATTTCATCAAAGACTCGGTCTACATCTTGTTTTCAAGCGCCGCCGTTAAGATGCTGTCGAATAATAGCGTATCATGTAGCTCGGCACAGTCTCTCGCATATGTTCCGCAGATTATTCAGTCACTGAAGTTCACGAATATTTCGTATGAAATATATACACACTCACAAAGTCAATAGTACGTACACGCATGAGGAATTTTACTGACGGAAACTCTGTTATAACTCGTGTGATTCGCTTCGTTCTAATTGGATTAAAGTGATTCCAATTCGTAGCCAGTGCCATAGAAATTTATAATGTAATTATTTTCTCACGGTTCCGTTATATGTATGTTATTTCGGTCACACAGGCGTCCCAACTTTTTCCATTTAAACTTTCATTTAAAAAAAAGTTTCAATAAAATGTGTACAAAAGCGTAAAATAGCCTAAATCTGTGCAAGCGTGAAATACCTTATTCTTTTATCTCGGCGGTCGATATTAATTTAGATCTGTAACGATTTAACCAACCTTGCCTCGTTTCTCCATCCATAGCAATTTGTGCTTTCTTCTTTACCGTTATATGTAAATACGCTATAGTGTTTGATATTTTTCGAATGCGACTACACCTTTCCATTTGGACGCCTCCTTTGTTTGTTTCTATCCACCAAGAACACCGTATTAGCTGCCGAGAATCATATGTTTTTAAACAATCTGCACGATGGATATAGAAAGTAAGTGTTAGTTCCGTATTATAATAATATTGTATTAGAGAGAGAGAGAGTATATTAGTATTATATATTATATATATAATATATATTATAGTAATATATATATACTTATATAATACTTAATATATATATACTATAATATATATTATAGTAATATATATATACTTATATAATACTTAATATATATATACTATAATATATATTATAGTAATATATATATACTTATATAATACTTAATATATATATACTATAATATATATTATAGTAATATATATATACTTATATAATACTTAATATATATATACTATAATATATATTATAGTAATATATATATACTTATATAATACTTAATATATATATACTATAATATATATTATAGTAATATATATATACTTATATAATACTTAATATATATATACTATAATATATATTATAGTAATATATATATACTTATATAATACTTAATATATATATACTATAATATATATTATAGTAATATATATATACTTATATAATACTTAATATATATATACTATAATATATATTATAGTAATATATATATACTTATATAATACTTAATATATATATACTATAATATATATTATAGTAATATATATATACTTATATAATACTTAATATATATATACTATAATATATATTATAGTAATATATATATACTTATATAATACTTAATATATATATACTATAATATATATTATAGTAATATATATATACTTATATAATACTTAATATATATATACTATAATATATATTATAGTAATATATATATACTTATATAATACTTAATATATATATACTATAATATATATTATAGTAATATATATATACTTATATAATACTTAATATATATATACTATAATATATATTATAGTAATATATATATACTTATATAATACTTAATATATATATACTATAATATATATTATAGTAATATATATATACTTATATAATACTTAATATATATATACTATAATATATATTATAGTAATATATATATACTTATATAATACTTAATATATATATACTATAATATATATTATAGTAATATATATATACTTATATAATACTTAATATATATATACTATAATATATATTATAGTAATATATATATACTTATATAATACTTAATATATATATACTATAATATATATTATAGTAATATATATATACTTATATAATACTTAATATATATATACTATAATATATATTATAGTAATATATATATACTTATATAATATTTAATATATATATACTATAATATATATTATAGTAATATATATATATATATATTATAATATATATTATAGTAATATATATATATATATTATAATATATATTATAGTAATATATAATATATATATATATTATATAAACATTGTGTATATACATTATTTGTTTAATTGTCGATTAAGTAATTTTATTTATTAATTTCCGGATCAATTTTCTGAATTAACAGGATTAATCAAAAAGAAGAAACGGGTGAAACGAGATGGCAATCTTCAACAACTTGCCGTAGTCGTAAAAGAGCTTGGAGATATATATTTTGAAACGGGAAAGTACGAAGATGCTTTACAGGAATACACGGAACAATTTGAGGTTTGTAGCATCATAAATGACAAATTGAATGTTGCTGTAGCTCATAGAATGATCGGAGAAATACAAGCAAATCTTGGGGCCTACGAAGAAGCATTAAAACATCAGAATCATTATTTGGGTATGTTTTTTGCTGTCCATTAATTCGTAAAATTATGCAAACAATTAAAATAATGACATTTTTGTCTTAGGTAGAAGGAGCCAAGGAAATGAACAGTTTATTAGAGGAACAAAGAGCTTACGCCACATTGGGTAGAACATATTTTTGCTGGGGCGAAAGTTTGGTTGAAAAGTCTGAGGAAAGGCCAGAGATTCTATGTAATGCGAGGAAAGCATATATGAAGAGTATACGACTGTGCAATGAGTATATTTTGCCTTTTATGCATACACGATACGTAACATTAATTCTTTATACGGGGACAACTTTTAATTTATTGATTAATTGTTTTTAGATTAGGAGATTCAAATATAGACTTGAAGGAGCTAATGACTATGCGGGCACGATTACTTTTAAATTTGGGCTTGGTGCTAGAAGCTCAAAAGGAACATTCTCAAGCTGTTGATCTCATGGAAAAGGCAGCACAATTGTGCAAAACGCATAACTTACAAGAAGATTTTCATAGAACACAAATTGCTCTAGGTGGTATTTATGAACGTAAAACGGATTACGAATCAGCGTTACAACACTTCGAGACAGCAGCTGATGTCGATAATATGCTTTTGAAAGCAGAAGCACAACTTTTTCAAGCCGAATTACTTTTGAAAATGGAAAAATGGTACGGGTCGCGAAAGATACTGGTCTCTCTTTATGTTATGGAGAATTTACCTAACAGCATTAAGCAACAAGTAGAAAAGGATCTTAGAATAGGTATAATATAGTTATAAAAAAAATATTTCACAAATACAGTTAATTTAATATGTTTTGTAAATACAATTTTGTTTCACAGTGGCAACTTTGCATTCGACAGAACAAGCTTTAAGCACAGAAGAAAGTACAAGCGAAAGGTTGAAACTTTACGAAATACTCGGCGATGCATCGGTTGCAGTGAATTGTTTTGAAAAAGCAATCAATTACTACAGAGAAATGCTTAAATGCGCGGAAGACATCAAAAGCGATCGCACGGGAGCAGCTTTTTTGAGCTTAGCACAGACTCTGAAGGATGTAGGACAGTATAACGAGGCATTGGAGTTTGCTCAAAAGGAATTGCAGTTCTGCACAGATCCCCGTGAAATTTGTAGATCAGCCTTGTTTTTAGCTGATTTATTGATAGCGACTAAAGCGACAGACGAAAAAATTCAAGATACGTATAACTTAGCCTTGAAGAACGCAAAAATTTCTAACGACGTTTCCTTGGAAATGTCCGTTTTGAAAGAACGTTTAAATTATTTAATAGACTACGGAAGCACGGAAGAGGTAAAGTCGCTTCAGGAAGAGTTAGACGCTCTGAAAGAATTATCTGCTGGTACGGAGAGTGAAAGTGAATCGGAGGGAAATGATATCGGAGCGAACATTTGTTTGGAAGATTTATCGGACGTAGAAACTGAATTGAGAGCCAAGGAAGAGAGCAAAATCAGTAGAAAACGGACCAGAAGAAAGTCAGCGGTTGTGAAACGAAACGAAAAGGGTGAAACGCAACTTCACGTGGCTTGTATCAATGGAAACATCGAAAGTGCAGAGAAATTACTGGAGGCTGGTCATCCGACAAACGTTCGAGATCATTTTGGTTGGACTCCTCTGCACGAGGCTGCTAATCACGGTCACGTAGAAGTTGCAAAATTATTATTACAACATGGTGCAGATGTAAATGACCCCGGAAGTCTCATGTGTCAGGGGGTTACACCTCTTCATGACGCTGCGTCTTGCGGTAATATCTGTATGATGAAACTTTTAATAGATCACGGGGCAAACTTGGAGCTGAAAACGAACGAAGATGATACGGTATTGGATTGTTTAAAAAACTGGAGGGATCGCGTTGATTACTTATCTCCAGAAGAACAGGCTGAATATGACGAAATCCATAAGGTCTTGTCTGCTATGCTTCCAACGAGTACAAAGAAAGACTCGAACCGATCAAGTAAATCGCCACGTAATTCTAGGAGATCTATTAACGACAGAAGGGATAATACAGAAAAGATTTCGGCAGGAGAAGACTACAAAAGAACTATAGCTAGTTTGAAGCACCGAAGCGATCCAATCGGAACAACTTTAACTTCTACTAAACGTGTTGTAAATCCGCTTTTGAACAGCGAAGAAGTTCTTTCAGACGATTGGTTGGAAGATGATATTAAGGAAGGTGTTTGGGAAAGAAAGTATTCCAATGATAATTTTAGTACAACGAAAAGGAAATCGAGCAACGGCGATATTGATCACGATAAGAATTCGAAAAAACAAAAAACAAAGGCTCAAGATTCTGCATTAAGTGAGAACGAGCTCGAATTAACCGAAGAGAAAAGTACCGACAGCTGCGATACCGTGGTAATGCAGTCTCTGAATCGTTGTAAACCTCGGAAGAAAAAGCAGCAATTGTGTCTGTTGTCGGCCGGATTTACAAAAGAAAATCTTTCTCGAACACCTTCGCCCGTAGATTTACCTTCTACCAATTTGCTCTCTAACGAAGCTAACGTTCTGATAAAATCAATTATTTTAAACGTTTCCGTAGACGAAAAAACATTCCAAACTCAGGTAGAACTATCGAATGCCGCACAACTCTCGGTGGATGATATATTGATCGATATCGAAAAGATGTTTCACAATGATACCGGCTGTAAAGCAAAGTTCCATTTGAAAACTATGAACGGTATCGCGATAAATGCCAATAATGTGTTCACCATTTTGAACGAAGGGGACATAGTGAAAAATTTCAAATGCGAGATAGTTGATCTAGAAACTCCGCCCATAGTCGAACGATACGGGACTATCTGCGGTATTTACAATATAAAAGTACGCGAGGTCGTATCGAAATGTTTGAAGTCGTGCGAGAACACGTTCATATTGAGATTGAGGCAAGAAGATATGAGCAGACAGGAACTCGTATGCATATTGAAGACATTGGTATACGAGAAGAACGTACAAATTCTCGATTTGTCGAACGGAGAATTACAGGATATAGCTGAGATCCTGAATGATTGTATTTTTAAATTGTCGGGTTTGCAGGAATTGTATTTGCAAGGCTGTAATATAGATTCCACGTGTTTGAGTAAATTAAAAAAATTGCCTTTACAGCTTAAATTATTGGATCTCAGTTACAATCCGCTCGGGCCGAAAAGTCATGAGATACTATCCAAACTGCTCGCTCCTTTATCGCAACTTCGTACTTTAAATTTACGAAACTGTTTATTGTCTAGCTCTCGTTTCCTTTTGAACAATAGTAGCCTGGTGAATTTGGACATATCTTGGAACAACTTCGCCAAAGACGAGCCCTGTATCGTCTTGCAAAGACAGTTGCTTAATTTAAATTTATCATGTACTGCTTCATCGAACGGACATAATTTAGCCAAAAGCATAGTCAATGCAACAGATTTTTCGTTAACAAATCTGGAATGTTTGGAGCTTGCTGCTTGTCATTTATCGGATATAGATATAAAAAACATATTGTCGCAAGCGTCGAATCTTTCTAAATTTGTGCTCAGAGGAAATAGAGAAATAGGAGTGCGATCGTTGAATTTATTATTGAAATATACGCCTACATTAAGACACATCGATGTTAGCGGTTGCGCAACTATCGTTGAATTTCCTGATCCGGCAGGATACATCAAGAGTCCAGAAATTTGTCTAGTTATTGTGAGCATGTTTTCGAACGTGTGCGAACACTGGCTTAATTTATGGCGAGGAAAAGCAATTGTGAAAACGTTAGCCCATAATCTCGTAATTTTTAAACCCACCAATCAGAGACTTACAAATTGAAGATCGATATACGAGCCGTTTATTTTGAAAGTGGCATAAGTCACTTTGTTTTTTAAGTCGATATATTCAAGGGTTTGCGTTTTAACACGTTTAAAAATATGGATGTGTAACTTTCGAGGAGATTTACTTGTATTTGTTTATCTCAGGATACTGATATTTTTCTCAGTATAAATAATTTCGTATAAACATTAAAAAAATCACCACTTTTCATTACGGTAAAGTGTGACTTATGCCGCTTTCAAAACAAACGGCTCATATTTTTCTATGTACAAATTTGTATAAAGTTTTATCATAGCATTAAGTATATTTTATAATAAATAACTACTATTTTATACAGATTTTTATACTGCGAGAAATTAGAATCTAATAAAATGTTCTATTTAAACAGTTACAACGTGGTTTCTTCGATATTCCGAAAATGTTGCAACGAATTGTTTGTCAAGTTTCTCCAATTCGATATGGTGTATTCAGCATGTTTTTTCTTTTTTGTAACATTATTCGTAGACATAACTGACGTCAACAACAATCTCTCTGTAAAATATGAAGTTACATACATCGCGCTTTTTTTGTAGCTTTCGTTACAAGGATAAGAAGAATTCTTTTGCTTCAAAGAGTTTAAAGGCTAGACTGTAGATGGTGCGAGCGGTGCGTTTGAAAAAAGTGTTCAAATCACCAAATCCGGTCGGTAGTTGCACCGAAAAAATCACGTGAGGCGAAATTAGTGTGTTGCATGTCGCATGCACGCCACGCGCTTGCGCGACCTTAACGCAAGGTGACCGTCTGAAAACTTGCGAAAGATGCGCGTGTTATTCGTCTCTGGGTAGCATACGTGTGTTGTCCTTCCATGGCGCCGGTTTCGACGGATGTATCGTAAAAGTACCGGTCAGTTTTGTGCCTGAATACACTGAAAATCGTCACGAAGCAGGCGATAGATCTTGCTTGTCGAGTCGCTGCCCGGCGAACAACCACACCTGAAAACAGCATTGTTCGTCTGTAAAGATTCGTGTAAATAACAAACTTTTTAAGCAGAGAGATTTTTGTATAAGTTCGCGCGACGGCGAAAGTAAGTTCAGTCGAAGTGTCACGCTATAGATTATTTTAATCTCGCGTGCTAGCGTACCGACGAGTACAAAGAAGTACAAATTGCAGATAAATAATACCGTGTCGAAAGGGAACTCTTGCATCGGGCACAGTACAACGAAACCGAGATGTCTGCTTCAGATGTAGATCATGAGAAAAGGAAGCAGATTTCCGTTCGTGGTATCGTCGACGTCGAGAACGTTGGAAATTTTAAGAAAACCTTCAATCGACATTTGCATTACACGCTCGTGAAGGATCGTAATGTGGCAACGAGCAGAGATTACTTCTTCGCCTTGGCACATAGCGTCAAGGACAACTTAGTGTCTAGATGGATACGTACTCAGCAATACTACTACGAAAAGGACCCGAAGGTATGTTTCTTTATCGGGGGCATTTTTTTCCACGATTTACGTTCGTTTCTTTGTAATGTCATTGCAAAGTTACGAATACATAGAACACCGTGAAAGTATCGTTCTGTGATTAATGAAATTAATTCCATTTGTGCGTTTGACATATTTTACCCTAGGTTCTTTTTTTCGTATCTAGAGCAATGTTACGATAAACAAAGAACAATAGTTAATATCACGAGTGAATAAATTATCTTTCCAATTTTTCTTTTCTCAAAATTAGTTTCACAATAAATATCCGTCTCCGTAGATATTTTCTCGGTTACGCTGGGTTGTCTGTTGATAAAGAAGCGCATGTAATTATCCGTCGGTCAATGACTGTTCGTATTATTAGTAATAGAAGCGCGGGTAACTTTTTTTTCGTTTGGCAATAAATTTGCAATAAACGCGGTCGTAATAAATTAACGAGCAGTTATCGAGGAAGACCTTCACCTTTTAAACGTTCCGGCTTGCTGGAAACATTTTCGAAATTATTAAGACTCTTTTCGAGGATGATAACGTTTTGTTCAACAAGATTATGCTCCACGATGAAAGAAACGAAGGATTCAAGTCGAGCCGAGCGTGAGTGTACGTACAATTTTCGCAATGGTTCCGAAGTTACGTGTATGAATATACGTATAATACTATTTGTGCAAGAACGATGCTATACCGTGATGAACCTTTGAAATAGATGTGCAACATGTTGCACCGGCTATTTTCGTTTGGCCTTACCATCAGCTCACCCCGAGGTCTCAAGCCAAACAGTTTCCCCATTCTTTTCCCAATGCCATGCTCGCGATAAGATTTTCTTTTGAAACCATTCCAATTACACACGTCGATCGCTTATTAATAATTGTTTAACAACTATTTACGAGGCCGTGTTAATGAACGTCTTACAATAATAACGTGTTTAATATATAAATTAATATTTAATAATATAATGATTGATATAACATTTAATCATTTACGTGTCACGAGCAGATGATTACCGACGATCGTGTATCAAACGAATAGGAAAGTTTTCGGGAGAACTAGGGACTATAGAAGCATTAAGCAAAAAATGAGGAGACGCGATTAAATAAGGTTAATGAATACGAAAAGTTCAAGAGTAAAAGAAAATTAAAAGGGAGATAGAATCGAATGAATTACTACTTGCACTTATTGCAATTTGGAAATAAACGATAATAAAAGCTATAAGTTAAGTAGATAAGTGGGGCGAGGAGATAATCTGCGTCGGCGGATGTAACTAGCGGAATGGAGAGGTGGAGGGGGGAACGGAGCGGGTGAAGAGATAAGCAAATGATCCAGAATTGCTTCCGTGTTAAAAAGATTTTTTCAAGATATACAAGTAATTCGATATCTGTTCGAACTATTACAAAACACTTGATTATTCCGAAGGTTATGAACGTTGTATGTATTTCAACTGTTTGTGTAAATCACGTGATGCGCACCTATTAAAAGCCGAGAAGCACGTATATTATGTTCTCTAACTCATTATATGTGTATTTGGATCAAGTCCCGCATTATTTCGAAAACGTTTGTTATTGTATCATATTAGTAAACAGTCTGAAATTCCATACATGTATGATCTCCTGCAGTTTTTACGATATGTATGTTTTTCCTTCATTCAAAGTGTTCGAACAGTTATAACTTTTTTTTTAATATTCCGAGATCGTTCACGCTGCTGCCCCATACAAATTAGGAACCCGAATGGACGCGAATAAACCCGTAATAAAAATGAATTCTCTGCGGCGCCTGCTGACGTCAACTCTCATTCGAAAACGAGTGCCAATTTATTTTTATTCATAGGGCGATCGAAACGACTAAGATAAGATACACGGTGACCCTTTTAGAACGGAATAACTTTTTTATAATTGGGCCAAAGGGTCTACATTTTTTTTTTTATGTTAGAGTGATTAGTTTACTAGGCAATGGCTAGAAAATTATTTTTAACAATTGTAATTTGTTGGCATGATAAAAGAATTAAAAAATTATGTTTTTCTTTCGACTTTTTTATCTGAGTCTATAACGAAAAAATTTAAAGAATGCGTTGCAAAGAAACAATTTATACGCATGCTGAAAATTTCAGCCACTGAAAGATGTAAAAATGACCTACTTTTGATTGAAATTCGTGAAAAACTTCCATTATCGTGATCTTGTCAAGGTCAATCGATTTCTATGGAATTTTCGTATGCATATAAGTTACCGAGATCCACAAAACGCATTTCTTAAATTTTCGTTATAGGCTCAGAGAAAAAAGTTGAAAAAACACAATTTTTCAATTTTTTTATCATGCCAACAAATTGCAATTTTTGAAAATAATTTTTTAGCCATCGTCTAGTAAATTGATCACTCTAACATCCAACAAAAAATGTAGACCGTTTGGCCCAATTATAAACAAGTTATTCCGTTTTAAAAGATGCCCGAATATTAATTCGTGTCACTATACATATATTCATTGATTTCGTGATGCGATACGGAAATAGCTATGAGTCATAATTTGTGATAAAAGCTGAGAAATTTTTAATTGGATGAATCATAGTTCAATGTCTTCTTATTTGTTTTTCCGTGCTGCTCGTAATTAGAGCATCGCATTAAATTAAACGTTTAAGTTTTTTTTATTTTTACAAGATAAGATTACATTGCAGTCAACACTTATTTATTTTTAATAAGATAATGCATTTTCTTTTAGAGGGTTTATTATCTCTCCTTGGAATATTATATGGGAAGAACCCTTCAAAACACTATGATCAACTTAGGTATTCAAGGTGCTTGTGATGAGGCTATGTATCAGGTCAGTTTTAAATATTTAGGAGATAAATTGGCAAATGCGGGGAAAGTTAATACAAATTGGTTTTCATTGTCTACGCTGTAGATGGGTTTAGACATTGAAGAATTGGAAGAACTTGAGGAAGACGCTGGTCTAGGAAATGGTGGTTTAGGAAGGCTCGCTGCTTGTTTTCTTGACAGCATGGCCACCTTAGGCTTAGCAGCTTATGGATATGGTATTCGATATGAATACGGAATATTTGCTCAAAAGATTAAAAATGGAGAACAGGTAGAAGAACCAGACGATTGGTTAAGATATGGAAACCCATGGGAGAAGGCAAGACCTGAGTTTATGCTTCCTGTAAACTTCTATGGACAAGTTATCGATACCCCCGAGGGAAAGAAATGGGTGAATACGCAGGTAACGGCTACATGAATAAATAAAACCATACAGTAGTTTGTTTTCAATATATACATATATTATATATTTGTTTGCAGGTCGTATTTGCAATGCCATATGATAATCCAGTTCCAGGATATAAAAATAATGTAGTAAATACTCTTAGACTGTGGTCTGCTAAATCTCCAGTTGAATTCAATCTTCAATTTTGTACGCATACTTTATTGCTTAATACTTAAAATTACGATCTAAGATGTTTAGGAATTATGTAAAAAAATGTTCAATATTATTTTCAGTCAATAATGGTGATTATATCCAAGCTGTAATTGATCGCAATTTGGCCGAAAACATTTCCAGAGTATTATATCCTAACGATAACTTCTTTGAGGGAAAAGAATTGCGTCTGAAGCAGGAGTATTTCATGGTGGCCGCGACTTTACAAGACATAATACGCAGGTATATAACATTGATTACTCAAGTATCATTTGCATTTGCAAGTTCTTTTTACATGTAATTATCACGATTTACAGATATAAAGCTAGTAAATTTGGCTCAAAAGAACATCACCGAACAGACTTTGATTTGTTCCCCGATAAAGTTGCTATCCAACTCAACGACACTCATCCTTCTATGGCCATACCCGAGCTAATGAGGATTCTCATTGATGTCGAAGGTCTTCCATGGGAGAAGGTTATAATTTATTACATTGTTTCATCATAATTGATCTTATATAAAGTTTACTGAGAGACATTATAACTGCTTGTTTCGTTACAAAGGCTTGGGACATCACAACCAGGACTTGCGCTTACACCAATCATACAGTGCTTCCAGAGGCCCTCGAAAGATGGCCAACAAGCATGTTGGAAAGTATTTTGCCTCGGCATTTGCAAATAATTTATCACATAAATTTCCTACACTTACAAAAAGTTACTGCCAAGTTTCCGAATGATATGGATCGCCTTCGTCGCATGTCCTTAATCGAAGAAGAGGGCGAGAAAAGAGTTAACATGGCGCATTTGTCTATCGTTGGTAGTCACGCTATTAATGGTGTAGCGGCACTGCATTCAGAAATTCTAAAAGCGAGCGTGTAAGTTTTTCTATATTTTAAAGCTGTTATACTTATAATAATAATACTTACAATAATTATACTTATAATTTTCATTATTCTAGTTTCAAAGATTTCTACGAAATGTCGCCAGAAAAGTTTCAGAACAAGACGAACGGTATTACACCAAGAAGGTGGCTCCTTTTGTGCAATCCGAATCTTTCCGATATCATCGAAGAAGTAAGCAAAAATGATATTAATTTTCAAAGCGTTATGTAGAAATGTTTGTATAATTTAACCGTGACGCTTGTCAATTTTGATTTTCAATCAATAATCGATCAGCAAATCGTGGTACAGTTTATTGTTTTATTTATGCATTTCTAGAAAATTGGCGATGAATGGACCGTGCATCTGGAGCAACTGGCGCAGCTTAAACAATGGGCTAAAGATCCAGTCTTCCAACGCAGCATTATTAAAGTCAAACAAGAGAATAAACTGAAAGTAGCACAATTACTTGAGAAGGATTACGGTGTTAAAGTGAATCCCGCTTCTATCTATGATATTCAGGTACATGATTTGTTTGAATACGTTAGAATATATGTTCACGCTACGAGTAAATAATAATAATAACGTATTATACAAATTACATAAAAACAGGTGAAACGAATACACGAGTACAAGAGGCAATTGCTGAATTGCTTACACGTCATTACGCTTTACAATCGAATAAAGAAAAATCCGTCTGCGCCGTTTGTGCCGCGTACTGTCATGATCGGAGGAAAAGCAGCGCCGGGTTATCATTTGGCGAAAAAAATTATAAAACTGATATGCAATGTGGGCAGCGTCATAAATAACGATCCAATCGTTGGTGACAAATTGAAATTGATCTACCTGGAAAATTATCGAGTCACTTTGGCAGAGAAGATAATTCCAGCTGCAGATTTAAGTGAACAAATTTCAACTGCTGGTACCGAGGCATCCGGCACGGGAAATATGAAGTTCATGGTAAACGATTATTTATTTATCGAGCTATTGCTTTGTCGGCATTCATTTTCAAACGTTTGGAATGTTCTATTTGAAATTATAGTTAAACGGAGCACTTACAATTGGTACGTTGGATGGTGCCAACGTCGAAATGGCTGAAGAAATGGGCAATGAAAATATATTCATCTTTGGCATGACAGTCGAGGAAGTTGAAGCATTGCAGAGGAAAGGATATAATGCTCATGATTATTATAACAAAATCCCTGAATTGAAACAATGCATTGATCAGATCCAGAGTGGCTTCTTCAGCCCCAATAATCCAGACGAGTTCAAGGACATCTCCAATGTCCTACTGAACTGGGATAGATTCTATCTGTTCGCTGATTATGAAAGCTACATTAAAATGCAAGATCACGTTAGCAAAACTTACCAAGATGAGAACAAATGGGTAGAAATGGCGATTCATAATATTGCTTCATCTGGAAAGTTTTCTTCGGATCGCACGATTGCTGAATATGCTCGTGAAATTTGGGGAGTCGAACCCTCCTGGCAACGACTTCCCGCACCTCATGAACCACGAGATATTTAAATTATAACTTTTTGTCTTATGTATGTTTTCGCTTACTACGCTCACGACTGACAGTCGTTTTTTTATTTTTTGTTGGTTTTTTTTTTTTTTTTTTTTT